GTCGGGTCGTCATTTTTCGGTGTGGAATTGGTGGCTGGGAAGGTCAGAGGGTGGATAGGCAGAGAGTAATTTGGAATGGAACGTACTACTTGGATTCAAGAAGGAGTAAAAATAATAGAGGGAGAGAGGGAGAGAGAGAGAGGGAGTGAGAGAAAGGGAGAGAGAGAGAGAGAGCGACAGGGCGATCCCTGCTGCTACAAAGCTCGAAATTCCGTGTTCTGAGTTCACCACACCTTTAAATACAAAAAAAAACTAGGTCCTAGAAAACTTCCACGTTTCGAACTTAGGCTTAGGCTTAGGCTTAGGCTTAGGCTAAGGCTTAGGTTTAGACTTAGGTTTAGGCTTAGGCTTAGGAGTGGTCCGCGACCACTTTACTTAGGTTTAGGTTAGGCTTAGGCTTAGGCTTAGGCTCCGTGTTCTGAGTTCACCACATCTTTAAATATCAAAAGCTAGATCCAAGAAAACTTCCACGTTTCGAAATGGACCTTCCGAGAGCCCGAGCTCACCCCAAAGGAGCCAATTTTCGACCCGAAATCGAGCACATGGGAACAGGGGCAAAGCTAGTCTTCCCCAGCCATCCACCTCTGGGCGATCCAACAAGAATAAAAACAAGCCGGCACTCACTCAGGTGAGCCACAAAAGCGGAATGTCGCGGAATTTGCCAGCGAGGGGAAATTGAAGTGGAAAGTGGCCCTGGGCTGGGATCGGATTCAGAAAAAGCATATATGGTTTGGCATGGTGAGCTAGCAGAGATCAGATCAGAGGAACAGAGGCAGGCAAACGTTTAATTCCGAAATACAGCGCATTGGAGGGACAAACAGTTGGAAAAACACATCAAAAAAGGGATCAATATGAAAAAGTGGTAAAACAAGTTTAAAGGAGTCAACAGAATTTTACATAACTCGATTTAATTAAAAAACGCCTTAGAAGTGGCAGAAATTTAAAGGGATACCCAAGGTTTTGGCGGCAAATATATAGTTATGTATTCCGGGGAGTACAACTGACGCGCGAATTCCGTGCGGCAACGGGGAGCCCCTTGCCGCACAGAATTCGGACCCTTTCCCTCTTGTGGCGTCCCCATCCCGTCCAATGGCTTTCCACTGTGGCCTAATGGATAGCATCCAAGCCTACAAAACGGGGGTCCCGGGTTCGACCCCCGCCCGCGACATGGTTTTTGCTTTTTGACTACCGGAAAGGTTGGGCATCCCTTTAAGAACGCCAAAAATAAATAATCAAGAAATATCTGAAAAAATATGAAGGTTGGCTGTTGTTGAAGTTGCCCAAGTCAAAAAAATTATTTTACTATAGATGTTTCTGAGTTTAAATCTTTGAATTACCTTAGAAATTTCCAAAGTGCAAATAATCCAGGTTACTGTAGTAATTTTAAAGGGAAATCATTCAAATTATCGTAATTTAAGCCAAGAACAAAATAAACAGGAAAAATTTAAAAAAAGCCAGTTTTCCGAAAAATATTTATTCGAGTACTGACAGTAGAGGCATGACAATCAAAGCACGAATTAGCTTTTGCCCTCAGGCAAAGCAACGTCCCAAATACGCGGAAGCTCCTGGGGCTGCCCGGGACCGCCGCCAAAAATATCAGCAACCCCCTGCGCAGAGGGAAGGGACCGTGGTGGCTAATCGCCGGGACGAAAATTCGCCTCCGGGATGGGGGCAAACTGTTTGCCGATTGGGCCTTCTGGGCCTTCTGGGCCCCACCACGGAAAAGGCGCTGTCAAATCCCCGGCAAAACTGATCGTTTGCCCAGGGTTTGACAGCCCTCTAACTACGGTGGGATCAGGCCACGAAACGCGTGCACGTTTCCGAGGTGGGAGATCAAATCGGGAGGGGATGGGACGGGATCTGTTTAGTTTGATCGTTGGTGGTCAATGGGGAGATTAAAGGGGCGGCAAGGTGTCGCTACGGATTTGGTTAACGATGGATTTCCTATCGGTTGGACCGTCGTCGCGTGTCTCGACGCATGTTGCTTGGCGTCGCGTAATATGTCATGCAATGATGGCGCACATTGCGTAATACGCACATGCGAAAGGCCGACAAAAATCCAACGACGCTTGGGATGCCCGGACGATACCTTTAATGCGGGGAAAAAGGAAATGCAAAAAGTAAATGCAGAAAAATTACTGCTGGCATACAAAAGTTTTTGAAGACTTTTAAAATTATTTGAATTAAAAACAAACATCAGAAAGCTAAACGGGGGATTACGGGGTACTCAGTAGTACGAAAGCTGTCTCATTATGAAAAGGTTTCGCGGACTACTGGCAAAAGATGAATACAAGCTGAACTGAAAATGTTCTGAAACGCCGATCAGCGTCTAAGCGGCATAAACCAATATTACCACATTTTCCGGAGGCTCGACTTTACATAGGCGGCAACCTTGGGCGGAAGCTTGCGTTTGGCACCAAGATCCGCAGCCCGTATCAGTTTAGGCTTGGTTGATTTGAAACGGAAATCAGCGGTGGCGCCGCATTTTTTTCTAGTAGCTGGAGGCCCCCAAAAATTGACGAAGCCGAAGTAACACGACGTAAAGTCAAATATGATGAAATGAGAGGATATATAAATCAAAATATATGACTATGGATGTTATCAGATCACCTCACAAACCGATCGCTTGTAGAGCAAATTAGTGTACAAAAGCGGTAAAAAACGATTTACTAACATTATACCGAAAAATGATTATGCAGAAAACCATTACGCAGAAATCCATTATGCCGAAAATACATTATGCAGAAAACCATTACGTAGAAACGCATTATATCGAAATTTCAATACACAGAAATTTCAATACGCAGAAATCCGTTACGCAGAAAACCATTATACAGAAAAAGCAGTACGCAGAAATACATTACCTAGAAAATTCATTACGCAGAAGACCATTATACCTAAATTTCCGTACAAGGAAAAACTCTCTTTGCTGGAAATTTCCGAGTTGATGACAACGCATCATAAGGCAAAAAATTTGGTGGATAAAATCCGGGAAAAGAAGCAAGCGGGGTTCGGAGAAAGCCTTCAAAATTTGTTTCAAGAAGTCTAGAGAGGAGGGTGAGTATCGGGAGTCTTGCACAATTTTCGAACCGATAAAACTATCTGGCTGGGCAAAGTCCGCGAGTCAATGATGGAAACAACCTCAACGACCGCGGGATTCAACTTTTTTTTTGTATATAGAATCTTATGAGAGTGGAACGGTTGGGGTAACAAATTTCTGCGAAATATTTTTTCCATATAATGAATTTCTGCGTAAGAGCTTTTCTGCGTAGTGATTTTCTGTGTAATGGGATTTCGGTATAATGAAATTTCGGTCTAATGGATTTCGGCTTAATGGATTTCTGCTTAATGGATTTTCTGTGTAATGGTTTTCTGCGTAATGGGTTTTCGGTATAACGGTTTTCTGTCTAATGGATTTCTGCGTACCGTAATTTCTGCGTAATGTTAATTGCCCGTAAAAAACAGTAAAAAAACCAAACAGCGGATTTAAAGGAAAAATCATAGAATGATCTTCTCTGCCCAAGAGTGTGTTGTCTTATGTGCGCAATAGCAAAACCGGGACAGTGTTCCGCTCGGGACACCCAGCCACGGTCAGTCACACCACCACTCCCGAGACCCTCCACATTCATCCAGTTGGCCGGAGACGCGTGTGCTCGCGTCCTGCTTTTCGCATGAATCTCTGTGTCTCCCCCACTCCCTACGGCTCTAGGGGCCTTCAGTGGCCGGAAGACAAACATTCCGCGATGCTACGATCCGCCGGCCACGGTTCCCCGCAGGGCATATCACGGCCTAGGGGGGATGTTTTGCTGGAAAGCGCGGTCGGAACCAACAGTATTCTGATTTTTAAGAGCTGTTTGATACTGTAAGCTACAATGTAGTGGAAACATCAACTCGCGGCGGACCAACTTTAACTTTGTCTGAATACAGCGATCTTAGCGGCCATAAAATGTTGAAGCCAGGCAAAGAATTTGGAAGAGGTCGATGAGGTAAAAAATCTCAAAAAGTAGCAGCCAGTTCCCAGTTTCTAAGAGCAAATAAACGGGCTAGTCCGACCGCTTTCAAACCCCGACGTCGGACAATGCAATACGCGGAACTGGCCGACGACCGGCGACACCTCGAGCATCAGCTGATTCATCGTCGTCTCCACTCAAAGGCTGCGAGAGGTTGGGCGGGACAACGGGTCAAAAAACGTTCTAAAAGAGGTTTCTATCGGATCAAAACCGAATCCAACTTCATTATTTGCAGGTGGGAATTTTGGCTAATTTCGGGTCAATTCGCAAATTCTGTTTGCGAAATCTCTGCCGCTTGTGGCGTCTTAAGTTAATTCCCGGCTGGCGTTTGATCACATACCGGCATGTGGGCATTGCTGAAGCACGAGTTCTTTGCTCGTGCCAGCACTGAAGCCTAATTTTTCAGATAAGGGGCCGATTCACGAAAAGCCAACCAAATTGTCTTTGCAGAAGAGAAGAAGATAGCAGTGAGCGCTAATTCTGTTGCGTCGGAGAATCCGTAGAATATTAACTCCGCCTATCGGGCAGATTGGCCCCGTGATGCCAATTTTTTGCATTGTTACCTTCTAGCTCACAAGTAGACGTTTTTGGGTGACATCCCAGTCTTGTGCCTCTTATGCCTACGAAGCCTATCTTGTGCAGAATTCCAAATCTGTTTTCCAAAATTGGCTTAATCGGCACTCTGAAAAGGTTACCGCTCATTTTAGGGCAAGACTGCTCAAAATAACGAAGTTTAGGCCCCTGCAAAAATTCGAGAGGAAATATTTCCTCAAAAGTAATTCTTGCCATAAAATGTACGGTAGATTTTCAAGACGCCGGTTGAGTCAATTTGCAAAACAGATTCGGAATCAGCGTAAAATTCTGCACATGATAGGCTTTGTCCTGCTCAAAACTGGGATGTCACGCACCTCCTCTCTGCTGCAGGTCCCACGACAGTTTTCACTCTTTAGTAGCCGCGGAGGGCGCACGTTGTATCGTAAATGCGTTAACATGGAGACCGGCCCACTGGATTGGCAACAACTTTCCGGTATCCTAAAGGAATACAACGATGAACACACCCTCTTGCTGGAAACTCTCGCCACGCAAGGCCTCGCGATGCGGCAGGCCTGCAAAAAGGTAGAGTAGAAATAATTGCATGCCATCAGCTGTAAATTGACGCTGTTACGTTATTAATCAACCAGAAATCGCTCGTTCTGAAGCTGCACAACGGCCGCCGCATTATCTATGGTATCTCAAAGGTGCCGCAGGCGGCATATTTCGGTGCGGGAGCCGCCGTCGCTGCGCTATCGGGACCGGCAGGTCGGCATCTTCAAGATTTTCCAATGTCTTGGGCAAACTGTTTCCATGCGCCATTCCCTTCAATCTTCCAGTTATCCCGATTTGTGTCGCCTGCGGGGCCGCATGCTATTTGATCACGACTGTCTGGGATGGGGCGCAAACCGACGAGTTCGAAGTGGTGGGGTGGAAAGGCGGAAGGACCGCTTGCTTACGCCATTCTTCTAGGAGGTGTTGAGCGCGCAAATCTCCGAGATCTACAGCAAAACGGTGGCGTGTGTCGGACAGTTTAATTTGCGCGTGGCCGCCATCGAGCGCCACGCCTGCCTGACGCTTCCAATGCTGCTGGAATATGGCAACGGTGAGGTAAGTTGGGACGTAAGAGAAATACAGGTAGAGGCTATCGCGGCGTATGTCGGTGGTGTAAATTTTACTTTTTTGTCATAGTCTTTCTTCGCTTTGCCCCAGCGACAAAGTCAAACTACACGTATGGTGTAATTTTATAGAGAAACGTGCCGGAAAGCCACATATCGATGAACGTCTGTGAGGCGGTAGGGCACCAGGAGCAGCCGTCCACCATGCACGCGTTCTCATTGGTGAGCGGCGAATTCAGCCACAATCCTAGGCATACACCTAAGACTAAAACTTGGCGTCAGCCCGAATCTGCGACTCTTTCTTCCAGCATGCCACCATGGAGAAGACCGGAGCCGCCTTGTCACTGTCCCAAATGGACCGACTATTCACGTTGGGGATGATACGCGGTAAGTTTTTTGATATTGGTAATTTATGGCGTCGCTCCAGCTTCTATGGAAGACCAGACGGTGGTCAGGCTGATCCGGGACAAGATCCTGCCGCCGATAAGCGGATCGTCGGTTGGCCGCAGAAACGAGAAGGTAGCGCACAGGGGCCTCGCAGGCTTCACCATTTCAGGCATATCATCCCCTCATTTCGGAGTTGATCATGCGAAAGGAAGCCGAACTGAACCTGGTCGAGCTCTATTCATTTCTCCAATTTATCATTCGCTCCAATCACCTCGACAGCTTCTATCGTGTCACTGGGTATTCGGTAACAGTCATGCGGCATTGTTACCGATACACAACGGTTTAGCGTTTGATACATGGTGCGCAGCCTACAAGCGTCTTGCAGGTTTGGCTTCTTAAAGCTAGGTGTAGCGCTGTATAAAATTTCCTGAACTTTTCCGATGAGTCTTATTATTTTCAGCAGGGTTCGCGGCAGCAACAACTACAGAATTCGGTGAGGGTATCCAGGATCACGAATAACCGTAATAACCCCAATTTCAGGTAAACACCTACAACAGGGGCCAGGCGAAACCCCACAAAATGTTGAAGGTAAGGAAAGACCACCGCCGAATCTACTGTTTCACAGCTGTGCCTCTTTAACGAGGAGAGGCCCCAAGCCATCGAAGAGAATTTCGCCGAATTGCTGCGCATCGTCGATGGTAAGCCGGTGGGCCCGTTTTTCGTTCCTTATGCGATTTTTCAGGTAATTTTTGTGGGACTATTCGGCCCGGCACGCCAGGGAAAAACGATGCTGCTGGAACTGTTTAGACTCCTCGGCCTGGGAACGACAAATTGGGATCGCTGGAATACGGAGATCGGGTAACTTTTTTTGAGAGGAGGTTGATTTTTGTTAGGGGTCCTGAAAGCATGCATTTCGTCTCCGGCAGTGACGCCATCACCGAAGGCCTAGAAGTGTCATCAACACCGATTCTAGCCAGGGATAAAAATGGAAAAGAGGTCCGCAGTTCGCCTTGCTTAGATTCCTATTGTAGTGTTACATTCTGTTGATCGACACCCAAGGGATGTATGTCGCCGGCGATCCGGCTGCGAAGAGCAACTTCGTCCATACCATTTTTGCGACGTTTGGCGGGATAATGGTTTTGATTTTTACAGGCTAACATCAGCGAACTTGGCATAAAAATTTATAGATATACAACAGCGGCAGCGTTGATGCGCTCAACTATGACCGATTGGCACAAAATATCGAAAGACCGGCCGATGAGGCGCTGCTGAGAGACAACTTCAAGCCGGTTTGCATACCGATACGGGCAAACAGCGAATCTTTAGGTACTCTTTATCGTGGATAGGGACACAAAAAATCCCCTTACTGGCGTCGAAACAGGCCTGTATGCCAGGGTAGGTTTGATAACCTGAACACCGATGCTCCTCTGCAAAGCTAACCTTTAGTTTTAGCTTTGCAAAATCGATGGGTTCAAAAGTCAAACTGCCGACGTGTTGGACCGCCGTTTCGCCGATGTCCACGTAATTTGATTTCCTCTTTGCCGTACCTTGCTATAGTACTGCCATTTTCCGCGCGCCCCACGCGCCGTGCACAACGCATCCTACAATCGGCCCTTCCAACTTGGAGACCCGAATACCAGTAGCATTCGCTTCGAATCCATAACGTAACGATGATCCAGAAAAAATCGACCCGGAAATGAAGGCTTTCATCGATTGCGCAAGGGAGCTGTTTGGGGGAGGTGAAACGAATAGCCGGAACCCTGGAAAGCAGAAGTTTGCCGGGTTTTCTTTATTATTTATGGGTAAGGGCTTGCTAGCAAATCCTTCGAGCGTTACCTAGTCTGCAACGAGAACAGAACTGACCACCGACTATTTGCGCAACAACCTGGTCTGTTCGTTTGCGTCCCTCTGAACTTGATTTTTAGCTGATTTTGGGTGCCTTTGCCGAAGAAGTCGGCCAACGAACCTGCGCACATTTTCTGGAGCTTTTCACGGCATCGCGCCATCAGATACTGGAAGCAGTATGGCTTGAATGCACACAAATTCTACCTTTTAGTCAAATGAGCTACGGTTTGATGACGCCATCGCCGAAGTGCAACGGCTCATTGAAAATGTTAGAGCGGTAATTGCTTTGGGGTGCGAGTGACAACTCTTGAATAGTTTCACGCCAAGGAGATGCTGGTCGGCAACGAAGCCTTCATTGCGCAAGAGTTCAGGAAACTTGAACCGCTTTTCCATGTAGGTTATAGTGTTCGCTATTTTGACGAATCATTAGGCAATGGTCGACGATTTGACAATGATGCTCGCCGAAGAGCGCTTTCGCGCCGATCTTCCTCATTTGATCCGGTCCATGGCGGCTAGCTTGGTAGAATGCGACTTTTTTTCTTATCCAACGGCTTTCCAGCCAGTCAACGTTGCAAATAGAGCCGAATGGCTGCAAAATCAACTTTCCGGGCAGATAGACCTTGCAGGCTCGGAGTATCTGGCCGGCGCAGGTTTGTCGTCGATTTCGAGACGTTGACAGTTTCACATTTTCAGAAATTTCTGACCAAGAGCGATGGACGCAAAAACTTCGCGGCTTTAAAGATTATATGATTGTAGCGGTTCAAGTAAGGCAGCTGACATCAAGTTTCCCTAATTTTCTCCTGGTTTTTAAATTTCTCTTTATTACGGACCGGCTTGGGACTATTTTTGGTGTTTAAAACGCTCTTTCCAGCGTACCATAACCCCGGCCAGCCATGAACAGGCGATGTCGGCGATGACGCAGCGGACGGATGCGATATTGCAAAAACTGCACAAATTTCTCGTCGATGGGGTAAATTTGGCGAGCAGACCGGGGGAGCCGCGCTTTTGGTTTCTGTGGAATCAGCTCCGTTTATTAACAACATAACCGATGCTCTTTTACGACGCTTCACGTGGCCAAGTCGAAGCAGATAATCACCGTGGAGGCGTGGGAGCAAAGTTTTAGAGGAGCGCTATCAACCGATGCTGTCAGAGCGGTCTTGGAGAATTTCAGACAAGTAGGTTGGCAGCCAGCGGCAAGCAGGACGACCAAAAGCCGTAGCCACACTTGTTTTCAGAATCCGGCCCTATTCTTCGACAACATCAGCCAGCTAATTCGGCTAGCGCTCGTTGAGTCACGGGTGCAGTTGAAACGAGCGGAAAATGCGATCAGGCACGGCTTGCCTGACAATACTGCCGCCGCTTTCCTGAACCAACATAAAGGAGAACATTTCCTGCCGGGTGTGAAGGTATCTAGAGTGGTTGTTGGGATTCCACAGGGTGTCCCAAAAATGATCCGCGGCCTAATGGGGCTTCGGAATCGTCAGATCTTGTCGATTTAGGTATTTATCGAAAGCTCTGGGCAAAGCGAGAAAACAAGCGTTTTTGGTTTTTCAATTCAGGCATTTAATTCACGAATTTTAGTACCAAAATCTATGAAACCTGCAAGATGCGTAATCAGCATGTTCATTGCTCCGAAGCCTCGGTTAACGCAGATGAATTACAGAAAATCCTGCAAGAAATGTGCACAATTGTTGTGCTCAACCTGCACGAGAGCTGCGTGATTGCGAATTGGAAGTTGCTGAAAAAACTGGACCCCACTGGAGAGATGGTTTGCTCGATTTTACCTACAAAACATAACCCTAACTTTAGCTCAATGAACAGCCGATCCTGATGTACGACGGAAGAGTCGCAGACAACCCTGAACGTCTAATTACGGACCTTGAAACCAGGCCGTTTGAGGACCTTACGACTCAATGGCCCCTCGAAGAGGCGGGCGCTCAGCTGGCCGAACTGCTGCAGCGAAGAGTCACGCTCGGCTTCGAAACTTTGTATGGAAGGGAGAAGAACCGGAAATCTCGTGGATGCACTGTATCTTGATACCCTTGAAACATTTGCCGCGTTTCCTTTGTAATTTGTAGTCCCTCCCCCGGTATGTTGTGACCACTACTGCGCTCCTTTTGATAAAGTATAAAGGTTTCACTTGGATATGTAGCTACTCAAAAGCTCCGAGAGGTTATTCCGACCAGATAGCGTTCATCAAACCGCTTGTCGAAAGGGATTAGTCGAATAATGCTCGTGAAACTGAGCTTGAGAAATGTGCCAGAAATCGTAAATTGAGACAATGGAAGTCATATGAGAAAACTAAATTTCGTCGCACCAATCCTTCCTTTAATGCAGCATTGTTGACCTAGACAAAACCGCTCCAGCCTCAACGTGCACAACCTTTGGTGAATTACAGGTCACCCCGTAGCCTCACTCTTATCTCCGTTTGCAATATTAATATTTATGCATCACTAAATCACATACAAGCGGCTCGGCCGGCTTATACCCTAAATATCGAGGATCTTGCGCAAAAATCCAGAAGTTTCCGTTCGCACTCCCGAGGTTTTTGCCGTCTGGAAATTCCCATCAAGCGCCCGCACACAGCGCCGGAGCCTATTTCTGTCCGCCCCGGCACATTAGCCGGGTTACGGTATTCGGTGCCTGGATACAGAAACTATAATTACTCGTGGACGTCTCACTACGTTCTCATGCCGGTGTGTTGTGGATGGTGCTGGAAGCGATTATACTCGGAATTACCTACCGCCGTCGGCGTTCGCAGGTAAAAACAAGGCCTTCTGAGAGAGTACAAAATTTAGACCGCAACGCGTGTGACGAGGGCAAAACGTTGTGCTTGCGATTAGCTGTGTTTTGGGCCCAGCGCGATTTGCAAAGGATGTAGGAAATAGGGTTTCGGAGGAAAATTGGAAAATTGCTATTAACAAGGCCAAGCAGGCGAGCATTGATAGAGCGATAAAAACCGTCGTTATTTTTAAAAAACTCAACTTTATAAACCTTCTTTTTTTAGGGTCTAGACCTAACAAAGGAAGGTGCGATGAAGCCCGATGTCATTCCCAAAGACGACTTTTTTCCTTGTCCAGCACCCAGGGGCGTAGCCAGAAAAAATTTCGGGGGGGGGCCCCCACAATTTTTTTCCAAAACCCACAAAACATTAACGAGAAAACAGCGCCGCAGGCAAAATTTTTTGAAAAACAGGTTACATAGCTCTACAAATAGCCGTAAAAACAAGTGAAAAAATAGCGCCGCAGGCAGCACAATTTTTGAGAAAATAAAAAACATAAGGGTCCCCCCTTATGAAATTTTCGGGCCCCGGCCGAGTTCGGGGGGGCGGGCCCCCGGGGCCGGTATTACGCTACGTCCCTGCCCGCACCCTGTAATTCTTAAGATCGATGTATCAAGTATAATACTTACTACACATTAGATTCGAAGCCATCCTTGTCGGCATTTGAACTGCTGATTTTGAATTCCGGCATTTTGGCCGTTCCTTGCAAGATCCCGCAACTGAAGCATTTCCAAGCACGAAAAACAGTCCTCAGGCCATCAATGGTCGGAAATTAATTTTATAAATTTTGGTGATACTCGTTTTTTGAGCGACCAATCAAATTATTGCACGATCCCAACCCCAAACGAAAACACGCCCCGTAAAAGGTCCCTGGGTGGCAATATCTTGCGCTCGGTGGCTTCAATCAGCGGTGGGAAGAAAGCGACGAACTCTCATGAAATTCTGACAAAAACGCATGTTTTTTTCGGCAAGGGCTCTCGGGTTTAAAGGGCGTCTGGGGTAGGCGGAAACTCATATCAACAGTTCCTGTGTGGTAAAGCTTTCTGCCTCAAATTTCAGGGCGCTGGAATGTAAATTATCAACTGAAACGACCAAAAATTTTATTTTCCGCAAAGATCGTTCGGTTTTAGGTTGCTTTCCGCCTGCATACCGTAGCCCCCAAACGTTATAATCGGTAGAATTCGTAATTTCATAAATGGTCACGCAACTTTCGAGTTAATTTATGTATTTGACGGTTTATACGGAGCGGTTTTTGCTAGATCTGTCGGGATTCTTTTGAACTTTTGAAATCAAGTACGGAACATTGTTTATGCGGGTTTTTCGACAATTACCTTTTCCTCCTCCGCTTTAATCCAATGCCAAGAATCGCGAGTTTTCAGACGAGTTAGGACAATTGATCATCGTAACCTACTTCCTAGCCTATCTTGTTTGGATTACTACTTTGGCCGTGCTTGGAATTACGAAGCTAACGACTTAAGAAGCCATGGTTTTCGAGTGGTAGGTTTTTGGAGAACTTTAAAGTCGTGGTTTGGCAGCTTAGCTTTAGAAGCTAGTCCCTCAAGCCGACTTGGGAAATCAGGCTAATAACCCAAGCTAGCTCAGTGAAGCCA